GAAGCCCGGGCTCGGGGTGTGGGTCGCGGGTTCGAGTCCCGGCGCCGGCCCCTTTTCCCACCAGCACAACGCCACCCCCAGCGCTGTCTCTAAGGGAAGAGGAAACTGCAGCCCGCACCCCCCCGACACAGCGATAGCCTTAAAGAAGACGCAAGTGGCCAAGCAGGAGCCTGCCAGCTGAGCGTTCCCATCCAACCCCCCCCCAGACCGGGTCACTGGGCCGAAGGCTCTCCCCCTCCGCAGAGCAGAGTGCTTGCGTCAGGAAAACGGGACACGTCAGAGAGCTGTGGAAGGAAGCACCCGCTATGCCCGACCGCAGGGAAACGCCTCCCACAGAATTCCTCCGGAGGCTGCCAGGACGAGTCTTTCATCCTGACGAGTTTCTCCCAGGAGTGTGGGATTGTCACGCCCAAGCAACGCGAAGCTGCAGGCCAGCAGCGAGCTTTCGGCAGGACAGTTACCGTGCCATGGCTGGCCCTGTCTGTACTTGTCCTTCCTCGGGTCTCAAGCAGCCACAAACTATGAGTTCTGTTTTTTTAGGCTGACCTAGCACACAAGCTTTGTTGATCCAGGCAGTAGCACTGGCTTTAAACTGCTAGTCAAACACAGCACCCTTCCCCACTCCCACTGAACAGCCAGGACCAGCACTATTTCCCCTCATTTGAATGGTTCAATTAGGGGGAAAAAAACCCCACAAAACAAAACACTGAAGCAGTTTTTGTTACAAGTCTGTATTTCTTCCAAAAATAAATATTTGAATGCGCTGCTCCAAACCCGAGACCAGGAGCCAGCCTGTGCTCCACAGGAGCAGAACCAGTACAAAGGCTGTGAGTCTCTGCTCAGCGTGACTGGGCACTGAAGCTCTCCAGAGCACCGTGTGACGCCCGGACAAACGCCATGTCCTGCCTGTACTTCATGGCAGTGGGCGGCTGGCGCCTGAGCAGCTGGTCACCGCTGTCCTTTGGGTCAGGGTCATCATAGATGGTAGAAATGAGGATGGGAGCGTCCTGTCGGGGTTTTTTCACCTTGCTGAAAGTTGGCAGTTTCTCCCCGTGGTACCTAGAGGGAAGCAGGAAACGTTTGGTCCAACATTGCTGAGGCAGTCAGACACGCCCGTGCGTCCCAGCTCATCTCCTTCACACGCTGCAGGGGAGAAGTGGGCCAAGACAAGGCAATAAGGACTTTTGTCCTATTCCCGGCTGCAAGATTGCTCTAGAACAAAAGCCAGCCCTCCCAGTGAAACACAGCACCCCACAAAGCCTCCAGAAACCCCAGAGAAGGAAAGGGTGAAGGTGCACAGCTACAGCTCACGTCACTTGGGCTCTTCCGACCAGAACATTCTAGCAGAGGTGACCCTCAGGCCCCCAAGCACAGTGGTCTCTTCGTGCTTGTGCACTGCAAATGGTTCCAGTCCTGCTCTAACATTACAAGCTCCTCTAAGGAGCACTGGACCATCAGGAAAGCAGCACATTTAGCTCTGGAGCTCTGAGACAGGCTCTGCCACCAGCTGTGCAGAGAAAGGCAGATCCCCGGGACAAGCTTTACAGTTCTGGTTCACACTCGGCTCCTTTTGCGGGCCATTCACTGCTGTGTCAGCCCAGAGAGCCCAGGCAGAGGCTCTGACCACAGGCTGGCAGGGCAGGGTTGGGTACTTACCCCAGCCCCCTCTTGCATCTGGGGTTCTGACCCTCGTTGTCCAGAGCTTCAGCCATTCCAGAGTTCCTGCTCCCCAGCCCCAGCCCCTCCGTCCAGCCCTGCTGCTCCAGCACCTTCCTGCCAAAGCCCTGGGAGAGGGGAAAAAATGTCACAGACCCCCCTCATCTTTCCAGAGCCCTCCTCTCCCTAGCCCACATCCTCTGGGCATCACCACCGCAGCCTCTCCTGTCCTGCCCCATCCCCTCCCAAAGCTCACCTTGGTGTATCTCTCGAAGGTGCCAATCTGTTGCCCTGAAACAGACCCATCCTCCAAACCATCCCGGAGTCGCTGCTCCAGCCACATCTGGACTGAGTCCCGAGCATCCTTATCACCTCCATCTAGGGAGGAAGAAGCAAGAGTCAGAGCAGCACAGCTCGGGAAAGCCATTCACTACCTTCGTTCCCCCCAGAGCACCACGCAACAAGGAGGCAGAACCTGTTCTTTTTGGCAACTCTCACTGCCAGACAAGAAAAACACTGTTTCAAGTGCACTGACATCTTGGATGCTTTCAAAGGATGACAGAATCCCACTGCAGCAATTCTGCAGGGTCAGAATTACCCAACCTCCCTGGTTTCCTGAGAGGGAAGGTTTCAGCTCAGGTACCTTTGTCATAGTAGATGCTCATGTCCACATCCCAGTCATCTGCAGTCTGCTCATCAAAGTCTGCCAAGAGAAGGAAAGCACCGGTTTTAGTGATGGCTGTGGAAGTTTGACACAGAAGAGCTGCTTGCTGCTGGCCCAGCTCTCTATTTTCTCTAATAAAATAGGAAGAAAACAGTATCAGAGACTCCACAAACCACAGCACTTAGACAACAGGCTGCCAGTGGGACCGCCGGGGTCTCTGGCGACTGGATTGAGCCACTGCAGGTTTTGTGATTGAGGGAAAGTTTAAAAAGTGATGGCAAGATGCTCATATCTGTAGCTGGTTTGGAATGCTCATATGGGGTTATACCTGATTTGCCTGCAGGGCTGGGCCCCCCGGCTCATGGTGGTTAGTGACTCAGTGACACAAACACCAATGTTACCTCCATTCTTCTCCTGCCAGTACTGAGCATCCGTGTAGAAGACAAGGCCAGAGCCGCCTTTCTCCCACTTGAGCTCAATCTCCTCTTCAAAGAGCCGCTCCTCTGTGCGGTCCTGCTTGGTCACATCCTCGTGCAGAGCCTCATGTCGCTCCCACTCCTCACAGGTATCATTGTCCTGCAAAGGAGCCAGTGAAAGGTGGGTGACACCAACAGCACACAGCCTCCTCCCTGCTCCCCTGACCCTCGCCTTCCCTACGAAACAGCTTTGTCAACAGAGCTCGTCTCAGCCTGCTGTTTTCAGGCACTAACACGACCAGCACTGATGACCTCATTCCCGTGACTAATGCCATCTTCAGAGTCAGCAGACAGAAGTGGTGAAAAATACCACATCACACCCACTTCACAGCATGCTTTCAGCAGCGTACCCGATCCGTAACGCAAAGATGCCCATTTAAGGAGCAGGTGTGTTGTACGTAAAGTCAGCAACAAATTAATTCCACTCAAGTTGATCCCTAAAGAGATTGTGTCAGTTCCAGTGAAGCAGCTCGCTGGCACAGACACAGATCAGACTGACAGCTTTACTGCTGCCTGCCCAGTTCTGGGCAGAGCCCTCCAAGGAAGACATTAAGCAAGGAACAGCCAAAAGAATGGCCAAAGATCCAGGAAACAGAGCCTGTGAGAAATGGCTAGAGGAGTCTGTTTAGTCTGGAGAAGAAAAGACCGAATAAAAAGTTTGTAAAGGAGGGAACAAAGCATTCTCTGTGTCTGCTGTTGCTAGGGGAACCTAAATGGCCTTAAATTGCAGCACCGATTTGGCATCTAAGTTAATTCTGGTAAAGCAAAGAACGGGAATGGCTTGCCTCGGGATTGGGCTGCCTCTGTAATAACAGAGGTTTGTGAGAACAGGCTAGACAGGCGTCTGTCAAGTGGAGGTAGCAAGATAGTCTCTGGAGAGCCTGTCCAGCCCAGTTTTCTAGGAGTCTTTGTCATGAAAGCCATTTTTCTCAGAATGACTAACTTCAATCACAGGAGCATTCAAGGTCAACCATTTTTACAGCTCCGCATGTTGTTTGCAGCACACAAACGTGCTCCTGAATCTCCAGTCAACTCATTTACAAGCTACAGCAGAGTCAGGCCGAACTGCTGTGCAGCGGGGCAGAGATCTGCTCTCACAGCACCAGCTGAGCCTGCGCTCGCTCTTCTGGACCAAAACCTTTGGGCTCATCCCTGACCAAACCCTTTGGGCTCAGCCCCTACAACCGGCTTGATTTGGACAAGCAGTGTTGGAGGCGGTAATGCCCATGCTGTTCATGCGCCAAGGAGCTCAGTACATCAAAACACGAACAACTGTATTTTAACACCATTTCTAGTCAAGTGATTCATACAATACAACTAAAAGATTAAAAATAAGCACTGGGAGAGTTACATCAGCCCTCCCAGCTTTGCAGCTACAATAGGTAACCTCAGACGATGCTAGAAAAATCCACTTACATCATCCGAGCGCAACTCCTCTTTCTCCTTCTTGTGCCCCTCCTCATCTTCCTCAGCACTGTCTGGGTGAGTCACCTCAGATCTTGCCACAGGCCCCTCTTCCTCTGTGATCTCATCCCCTGCAGCAGTGTAAACTCTTTCTTCTTCTATAACTGTCTCAGTGTCCTGGTATTCAAAAGGCACATTCCCATACCTACGGGATGAGCCTGTCTTTGGAAAATCCAGCTGCAATTTCTTGATAATCCGGGGAGGCAGCCTGCAGGCCCGGATCAGCTCCAGAAAAACTTTCAGGGGGGTGCCCACGTTCCCATAAGGCATAAAGGAAGGGGGGTTGAACTCGGGCAGCTGCTTCAAGTCTGCTTCTGTGACAGATTCGTCTGCAGCTGTCTTGTCTCCACTGTAGGGAAACGTCTCTGCGCCTGGAGGAGAGAAGGAATGGGTTTGGGAGAGAACACACACTCCACCAGAGAGGGGTAAATCGAGGCCTTCCCGGGCAGGAGGGGGGTTAGCAAACCCCAAACCGACTCTGGTTTCCCTCATAATGGATTTAAGGCATTAAGGAAATTCCATGAGGGGTTTTAACCACCAAGTGCTCTCAGGTTGGCAGCTGAGACCCGCAGAGGGTGGATCCGGTGCCCAACGGGTCGACCGGACTTTTCCAGGCCCACAAGGTGAGGCGCGTCCCGGCCCTCCCCCACCCCGGTGCCCGCTCGTACCTGTGCCGGGGCTGAGGCGGACCCTGCAGATGAGGCAGCGGCCGGGTAGCGAGGCGCCG